GCCTACCATGACAAGTGGTAACGAGATGCGTCAAATGTATCAAAATGCTTGCGTGATACCAATTGACGACTTTCTCGGGGCAACCGCCGTACTACGAATTCTGCAAGATTCTGCAACTACGACACTTGTCGCCTCCGAGAACAGGTCTGCGTAGCGCGTGTCCAGCAGGGTGAATATCGGTCGAGGAAATCCTCGACAGGGGGGTCGTACCTGTTGGGCTGGTCCATGGGGGGTCGTACTCTTGGGGGTCAGTAACAGAAGTGGTATCATGGTGCAGATAGGTAATAGGGTATAGCGCAGCAGAAAATGAAAACATCCGAAAAAAACATGATATTAAATTTTCTTTGCAGGTTCAGTCGCTCCATTCCTCCACCTTCATGAGAAGGGCGTATTTGAAGGCAGTACAAAGAATGAAAGTGCATCCCCGCAAAGAAGACTGCCACATGTGCGCACGCGCTGCAAAGGCACCTCCTCCGCCTATCACTCGCTCCTTCTCCCTTAATACCTCGCTGAGAATGACGCTGTTGTTAGGGACCCTGTCGGAAAAACGACAACCGTGAAGAAAAAGCGCTGGGCAAATGAAGTTGTTTTTTAGGTTACAGGAATAGCACAACACACTATGTCTACTACAATACAGTTTCGTTCGAAGGTCCCCATCATATAACACCTTTCAATCGATTCTGCAACTGTGAGTGGAGGAGGGATGCATGGCTTATACCAATACCAAATCGGATGATGACGATTGCTCCTATTCTTATTGTTTGCGTTCAAAGATATTGTTCTAGACACATTCCGAGTGTTGCCAACGAGTCACACTTGCAATGGTGAATGAGGGAGCGGATTTCCAGGTGGCCGGATCCGACCTCGATAGATCCTCGACGCAATTATCTCTTCAACCAAAAAGCTGTAGAGAAAAACTAAACAGACCATCAGGAAGCGCAAACCTTCCGCTTTCCAAAACTATCTTCCCTTTTTCAGGATCTTACAATATAAGAGATATATTGCTCTTGAAGTGGCAAAAACTCGCGTGAAAATTTGGGCCTCCTCGACATTTACTCGACGAAATTTGACAGACCCTATCTTTCTGCAAGGAAGGCTTCCAGAGCAATTTCGATGCTTGTTGGAAACGCGAAATCCAGCTCTATCTAACTCTACCTCAAGCTGCTTCAAAGGTTGTGAAATGGAGGAATGCAACCTTTTCATCGAGGGTGTAGATTCGGACGTTTTTTTTTTGAAATTTCGGCAAATCTGACCCAGTGACAATCGCGCCGCAGCTGCCGTTGAATCGGCCTTTGATACACTCGGCTGTTTTGATATACTCAAGCAAGAATCAAGATTGAATCGCAACCCCGTGTCTTCAGGATTTCTGTGCGTTTCTGAACGAACCTCGCCTTGAGGTCACACAAAGTTAATGCCTCTTTCCTCGAGTCGATATTTCAGTATGTACACAAAAGTATGCAGCGATGGAAGACGTGCATAGATGACAAGATGAAGCGTCCTTAGCATTATTTTGCAGAATTTTTTTTGATTTGTTTTGCAGGATTTATTTTAATTGAATTAATTTGCTCTGTTAGAGGGGGTCGTGCCAGGATCTCGATTTCGGGGGGGGGGGTCGTACCTCTGCGACCACGTACTCGACACGATTTTCACCCTGGTTGGTGCTGAGAAAAAGTGATAATATTTGACACTTAGAGTTTGCCGCTTATTGCCTCAGGCTGCACGCTAGAGCTAAGACGGCGCGCTACCTAGAGGCAGAGCCGATGTTTATCAGGATGTTGCTAAACAATTATCATTCCGTGTGATTCTGCTCCATTAGTAGACTTGGCCTGTGGATGGACTCCTAGAACGAGTGGGGATCGGCACGGTGCGGGTGAATAAGAGCGTTTGTCCCTCGACACTGAAAGGGTTCTCACAGGTCAGAACGTTGGCCATAAATTCAGAGGATTACTGGTCTTCCACAGACCACCCATCAGTGAAGAGATCGAAGAATTTAGCACGCACCCTCAGGTCTACGGTCGATGCCATCTATAATTCCAAGGTAGGTGGCCGGTCATGTGGCTAGACTTACCGATGATCGCTGGACGAAGAGAGTGACTGACTGGTACCCAAGGGGAAAAACAAGGCCCAGAGGCAGACCCCCACCAGATGGGCAGACCCTCTCGTGAAGATGTACGGCCAGTTGTGGCGCAGAAGAGCCCGAAGCAGAGCGACCTGGAAGATGTGCGACCTGCGTTTCTGGCGTGCCCGGGACGAATAGCGGTCGAGAAGTAAGAAGTAAGGAGTTATTACGGCGTATACATTATACGGCCTGCGACAGTGTGACAGGTGACCTTATATCTGAAGACAGGAGTGGAGGAGGACCTGTGATTCTGCTCTATGGAGGACAATAAGGAAATATTCTGCCGTAATTTCACAGGCTGCATCCTGAAGACGAAAGTTTTAGGTGAAGTACCAATAGTTACCAATTGCAAAATGACTTTCCTTCACCCCATCCATTCTTCCCCCTGGGTGTGCGTTTCACAGGACGTGAGAGCAGGTTTTTTCGCTGTTTCACGGACGCCTACAGAGCTAATTGGGTTATGGTTTGAGTATGCGTTTGAAATCGTCAATTGGGTTGCTGCCTGTGGCGCTTCGAGATCACGGACTTCGCTATCGCTCCAGAATTTATGCATTATTTCAAGGGGCTTCACCCTCCCTTTGAGACTGCATTTCCCTTGAGTCAGGAAAACTCTTGCTAAATTCTCGAAAGCTGAAACCGCAATCCTATACCGTCTGGCTTCCAGCCTGCACAACAGAAACATGAGGAGTTCACAGTACACGTCATACTTCATATAGTATAAATTATTTATTTAAATGCAAGGAATCATGCAATCTACGTCCAGGTAAGAAGTTACTGTTGTCGCTTGGGTTCTCAGATTTTATGGATGTTTCACAACTCAACAAGCATCAAAATTATCAAATTTTTTAGGATCACGAGATCTAAAATAATGCTAAAAAAAAAGTCCCGACGGTTCACACACTTTCATAAAAAGCCAAAAGCAAAGCATTTAACCTTGAAAGTTCACTTCAGCGATACAAAGTGCCTAGATATGACTGTGGCGGGATATAAGCGAGATCGTTAGTGACGAGAAAAGGAAGACCAACCTCCGTCATCTAAGGGCTTTATCGTCTCTCGGGTGACTTTTTGAGGCCCACAGGCACCAGAACCTTATAGTTGCTACTGCGCTCTAGAAGAGAAACGGTTCAGAACGAGAGATGGTTATTAATTGTATCTGAGGCACTTGCTCCGAGGAGAAAACCGATCAGATAACAAGAGACTTAAAGGCAAAAGTCGGGCTCAATAAGGGGGTATTATGGCGATTGAAACTGAGTATAGAGATGCGAAGTGGAACGACAGTGGAGAAAAAAACTGAGAAAAACCGTCGACAAGGCCGTTTAACAAAACCCTCTTTCCCACTAGCAGAAGGAGGCTGGCTTGGGAAAGAGGCACGTACAAACAAGTTTTCTGGAGATGTCAGTCGTTCTATCGGTTGATACGGCAATCAACCTAGCTGATTTCACACGTTATGCCAGCCACGCACCACTTCCGGAGGTGGGCGGTCCTGGATTGACCAGGCGGCCCTGGATTGAAACCGAACGCCCCGGGGCCTTAACGGGGTTTTTCAAGGTGGGAAGTTGCTGCAATGTGTGCAGCTACCCACATACAACCTCCAGGCACGGGAATTACTTCTCTAGCGTGCCTGAGCCCGACCTTTGCCTTTAAGATATTGGAGGGGCGAGTTTGATTGATGACGGTAGCTAGAAATAATGAGTACATTGAGTGAGCGGGAGAGCAGACTTTAGCGATTGAGGTATTTGCTGCAGGATTAACTGAATGCTATGGATTCAAGTGACGCATTAGAACGCGCGAAATTTGCGGCCCTCTACGATTTTTGCGTGGACATCTTATAATCCTACGATGAAGGCGTATTAATACATCAACTGGAGCAAAGCTGAACGGATCAGAATATATCTTGTAATATAAACATTTATTGACTAAAACAAACCGTCCATACACCAAATAGCAGTTATATGTTAGTGAGCGAACTTAACACTTATTAGTTAATACATATCACATTTTCTGGTTTGCGAATTCTGGCGGTAGGGGGCGAGGGATCAACAAAGGATAGCGAATGTCCTTCATCCAATGAGACAGTAGAAATGAACCAAAAAACTAGTTTATGGCCATGAAAAAAATGGAAGAGGGTGACAATGGGGGAGTGGGTGGGAAAACACATGCGAACAAACTTATGGTGATAAACAACAAACAGTAGCGAATAGATAGAGAAAAGCCGAAGAGAAATGTAAAACAGTCTAAAAGAAAAAGATACTGAAATCAGGCAGACGAACCGTTCTCGAACGGTACACTACCGTAATAAATACCGAAGAATAAAAAAAAAGAATAGACACACATGGAAAAAATACGACAGCAAATCGGCTTCGCAGTGAACTTACAAAAAACAGCTACTTTTCGAGCTTTAGTCGATTTTTACCGTGGAGTAAATTTTTCGTACAAATTTCGCCGTTCCCACATAGCCGATTGTGCCAGTCATGAGACCAAGTGCCGCAGAGAAGATGCCCATATAGCCAAAATAGAAGACCGTTTGGAACAAACCGTACATCCTAAAAACCAGAATTGAAAGAAGAGGTATTTAAGGATTTTCACATAGCTAAAACCATTCAGAAAAACCTTCATAACTCACTTTGTCTTGAAGAAAAAGTAATAAACCGAATACAGATACACGTATAGCGCCGTCGATGCACCTGCCATAAAACTAGTCCACCGCCTATAAACAATTTCAATTTTCCTTCATTCACCAGAACAAATTTTATTATGACGTGCAGGTGTTGCAAAAACAATTTGTGGGAACATTTTCATTTGGTATAGCTCCAAGTTCAATTTTCGAGACTTTAAAGCAACAGTCCCAGCAGGGTGGGCGTGGTCGGAAACGGCTGCAATCCCCTCGGCCGATTCCCACTTCGGAGCTGTTCAGCCCCTAGTCAAGAACGTAAGAAGTGTGACTGAACAAAAACTCACCTTGGAAAGCCGCTAGGGAGGGAGCTGAAAGTGGTGGCGTGATCACCAACCTCCTCCAGAATGTTGAAATTTTCGATAGGGAGATGCACAGTCGTTTCCAACCACGCCTGTGTTGGGACTGTACTTTAAAAGTGAGCCTCTAGCGGTTGAGATGTGGTCTGTACGTAGCTATCCAAGGAAAACCTTTTTTCTCACGCGCTTTTTTCGTCGTCCGCCTTGTTTTGTCAGCTCGACTTCGTCAAAGCAGAATCTACTTGCACTGCCATAAGAAATCAGTCATCAAGGTCGCGTTGCCATTAACCCTAAGTCGAAGTCAGTGCACCATACCAGTACGCCTAAATCTTATCCACCTTCTTGTTCAACAGGAGGTAGTACAGCGCGTAGAAAACCGAAAACTGCTCACCATTGGAAAAAAAAAGTATCAAATAAATGAAGAGTACAAGAGCAACCGCCTTATTAGTAACGAAACCTTGGTCGCTCAAGATGTAGAAGGATGACGAGAAGTCAGAGGAAAAGCGTTTAATGTGAAAAGTGCACTTAACTAAGGAACCTAGTAACTTAATCAAACCACAAGAACTATACTTTTGGTTGCACGAATTTGCACGTCAACGTCACTACAATAAGAGCTTAGACCTCCACCTCAAGGCTTAACCCACAAGATTGCTCACAAAAGTCCTGCTTTTGTGTCTAAATAAACAGTCTTGAAGAATCGATATCAAATGTTAGCAAAAACAAACGATGAAATATTTCGAAAAATTCAAGACTACAAACATTTTCGACTCGTCTGTGAAATCTTTGGGACTTGGAATACTTGGAATGCGTCGTACAAAGGTCAGAAAAACCACTTCCCCCACCTACTTACAAAATTTCCCAATGCCAATTCGGTTCTAAGCACTGCGATTTACTACAGTTTTTTTCATTCCATCTGATTACTGACGAAACTATTCGATTTTCTTTGGTAAGAGCGGAGAAAGAAAACAACCACCCACCATCTGTAATCCTCAGCATTCAGCAGGAAGTACGAGCAAACAATTGTGACACAAACAGTGACAATTGCCAAAATAATGGTGACAAGGAGCATGAAACCGTAAACGTAGTAGATTTTGTACGCCCAAAATGAGGTGAAAATAAAATACCTGAAATATACAACATAAAATATACAGTGTATCACTAAACTCGTGATGGAAATGAAAATAATGAACTATATAATCATTAAATTACAAAGATAACTGAATATTACTCACATCTCGATAAAGATACTTCCAAATGGCAGAACACCTCCCATAAGCACAATCAACCATGGCTGCACAAACCACTTCTTGTCAGGAATTGGGCGAGGAACAGCGTTTACTCTGCAACGAATGAATCAAAATCGAATTCCGAATTGGTAGGAACTCTTTTTACCTGCACGGGTAGTCTCCTTGGCCAGACATGTTACGTCCAAGTACAGTTCCAACTAATGTCAATGGAAGGATAACGAACAGGCAGATCGCAGTGACAGCTAACTGGAATTCAATTGAATCACCACAATATGGAAGTGAGTGCTAGATTTGAGCGTG